TCCAATGAAAATTAGGTTTTGGTTTTGGACAGATTTTGGACAGGATTTTGGACAAATGTCCAAAACTTCAAATTGTCTAATTTCCCAACACTGGGTTAAGACGCAGTGTCAGGTAGAGTGAAATTTTGAAAATAATGACAAGTAAACTCTTTAATCTCATTAGGGTCAATGGTGAAATGTTTGTTGCCCGTTACAGGATCATTAATTAGTAAGCGATCCAAGATAATTGTGTTCTTCTTTTGGTTAAGTATAGAGTCAATCATATTAGACGTATTGTTGAGCAAGTCATCACATCGTTTATCTACCAGTTGTTTAATCGCTGAGACTTTGAGGTTGTGTGTATCAATTTTTGTCAAGTTCGAGAGCATTTTATAAGTATCAATAAGGTTACGTTTGACTTCAAGGACAGAGAGGTCAGTAATAACTGGAGGAAAGATGATGGGTGTGAGCTTCATTTGATCAGTAATTTTGGCTATGGTATTAGTCACTTCAGTCCACTTTGAGCCTTTAGGCTATTCTTTAACCTGGATCAACTTGGGTTTAAAGAGTAAAAGAATCAAGCTAACTTTTCTTGCAGTTAAATATGAGTCTGGTGATTCATATAATTGTTTACGATTATTGTGATGAGAGATCCAAACTTGCAGGATAGTATATTTATTTGCAGCACAAATTGCAGTTTTGATGTTAACCCATAAAGAATTCATGTTGTGATGAGTAAGCAGTATGTTCTTGAGACGATCGAAATTATGACAATTATAATGGTAATCAGTGTATTCAGAAAAATCAGCCCATCTAGACGAATTCATCGAGCGTAAATTGGGTACTTGTTATTTATTTTGAAGAATACGAGATCAGACATGTAAACGACGCTGTATATCTGTAAAGAAAGCAAAAACGATTTTGTGGTCTGAAGAATATAAATCAGATTAGTCTAAAGACGAGAATAAAAAATCTGAGACAAGGTTGGGTAAAGCGAAAATAGTATCAATGCGCGAGCTTCGATTATTAGCACAAAAAGTGGGTTCAGATGAATCATAACATAAGTCATAAAGATCTAAGAAGTTAAGTGTGAAATCTGGTCATAAAAGTTAAATCTCCAATGAGAAGGGGAACCACTATTAGAATGAGATCAGTAATTATCGAGGTTTGCATTAAAATCTCCTAACAGGATAGTTTTAAAGTCAGACTTTAGACCATCTTTGATTCGTCTTATGTAGATTGAGTCTTACTTTTTTTGTTTCAAATGTTTGCGATGTATGTAGGTAGATACAAAAAATTTTTAATTTGATATATCCAGCGAGGTATAAATCGATATAGATAAAATGATCATCATCTAAAAAGGTTCGTTAAATATAAATAGCCCAGAAACATTTGATAAGAATATCAACGCCAGCATGAATATTAATACGAGAACTCCAAAAGGCGCAGAAGTTAGGATCATGTGAGTATCTATAAAATTAATCTGATTTGTGACGAGTTTCAGTGAGACCAATAAAATCTGTGTTGAAATTTATGAAAGTATCGTTAATTGAAGTGTTTTTAATAATACATTGTAAGGATTTAACGTTGTGGATAGCAAATGAAAGATTGGGGGTTTCTTTTGAAATGTTAGAATTAGTATGTTGAAATGACTTATTGTTATTAATATCAGTATTAGGTTTTAATATTATGAGAAGTATTGTAAAGAGGGAAACAATTATTGTTTAGCTAACTTAGCAAACAAAGACTCAAGTTGTGTCATTATAATATTAAGTTGTTCTTGTTAGGAAGCAATGATACCATTTTGTTCTTGAATGGTGGTCTGTAACTGAATATTAACGGGGTGAGGGACATGAGCATCGCATTCATCCGACGATGTATTAGCAATTCTGGATCGCTTGTTAATATGAGAGACAGAGTTGTTATAATTAGGTGTCTGGGTGTCAGGAATTTGAGGGATGACTGGAAGTGGTTGATGGGAAGTGTGACTTAATTGGTTTTGTTCTAATTTAAAAATTCAGGCTTCTAGATCAGACATAGCTTTTTTCATACCAGAAAGCATATCTAAAATTTGGTCTAATTTTTTATTAGTGTCATTGTTAGAATGGGGATTATAGATCAAATTATTTAATGAATTATCTTTGGGGCCAGTATCTTTTCCTTTGCCTTTGTTGTCATTCAAGGTCTTAGAGTAATTCATATTATTACGATCATTTGGAGGTCGATCATTTCTATTATTGTTGTTCTTAATGATTAAGTTATGAAAACCCACAGGTTTGTAACAATTATATAATTTTTGAACAGAGGGGAGTTGAGAACGAGGGCGCTTGTTATCCGCAGAGTCATTTTTTACTTGAGAAGTAATTTGAAGGCATTTCATAATAATATACTCAGTCGAGCCGCATTTGTGACAGCATTTAAGATCTGCTGCGCACCATTATAACTCTTGGTCACTAAAGACATAGTTGATTTTGATGGCGTCATTGAGTGTCTCTTCTGAATCAAAATAGAGGATTGCAAAGGGTCTTGGCTTATAATTATTAGATTTCGGAATATAGCAACCTTTTGCTTTAGTGGCAATGATAATATCTTATAGATCACGTGTCATAGTTCCAAAGGGAAGGTTGGTCAGTTTGATTCGAATATCATTTCTAAATTTTACCTGTTCAGGGATGAGATCAGCCGGGTAAACTCTTACACAGTCATTGTAAAGGTATCGTGACCATTGGGTGTAAAACAATTGGATGGCGTTGGGATCTTCATAGGTAACATAAGCATATTGCCACATGCCTCGTGTTTGCATTTTAATATTTGTAATTTTTCCATATTTGGCAAACACAGAAGTAAGGGAGTCTTGTTTAATGTTAAGGTGAATATCCGTGATATATAGGGTGCGCTGTTAGAACTGCATATTGTCTTTGTAGTTTTTGTAGTCAACAAGTTGGTCGATTCCCAAATCGGGAAATTTTATTGAGGAGGCAGAGATCATCAACTTTTGATCGGTGAAGTAGATCACTGCGAAATGAACGAAGTTAACGCGACGAACGTTAATGCCTTTGAACGCGTCATTTTAGGCGAACTGGTTGTTGATGGTCTTAATAATCATCTGGGTAGGAAGTTCCCTCGCCGTTTTGTTGATAGTAGAGGCACATGCGAAGGCAGTTGGTCTTGGAATAGTGATAAAATCATGACTGTCAGTATCCATATTTTCATTATCCTCAATAGGAACATATTCATTCTTGTCTAAAACGTTGGAAGGCGTAGTAGGTTTTGGTACAAAGATGTCGGCAACAATTTCTTCGTCCAAGAGGAAACTAGGTTCAGGAGTAGTTTTAGACGAAGAGGCGACAGTTTTTGGTTGCTTGTCTTTTGGGTCAAAGCGAAGGGTGTTTTTTGAACTAGTAGTGCGACTGGTTTTTTTCCCATTTTTATTTGTAATTTTTTGTAAAAACTCTTTTGAAAAATATGTTTGTAAAGTAGAAATAATAAACTAACTAACAAAGTTGAAAAATATTAAAAGATTTTTAAAGTGAAACGATTTTATTTTCTAAAAAAATTTTTTGTTTTCAAAAATTTTTGGGAGTAGAGAGAAAGAGTTTTTCGCATCCCAATAAAGAACTTTTTTTTTTTTTTTTTTTTTTTTGATTTTACTTGGATTGCGCAATTAGAACTTCAGCGCCCTATGCGCATCATTCGTTAGAAGTGATGTGTCTTATTTTTGGCATACGTCGAGTCCACTATAACCCCCTTTGGTACTTTTAAACCCAGTGTGAATCTGCGAAACTAAGGTGAATGGATATCTAAGACACAGCATAGTCTTCCTTTCGTTTGATTTTTTGATTTTTTTCTTTTTTTAGGACGGTTGTTTATTAATTCCAAGTAAGAGGATTTCTTTTATAAAAATATACATTTGGTAAGTTTTTTTAATAATTTTTAATTTTAAAAAAAATAATTTACTAACCTTTTCTTCTTTCTTTTTTTATTACCTTTTTCTTTTTGTCTTCTTCTTTATCACTCTTTTTCATCTTCCCTTTCGTCACCTTTCCCTTCTTTTTCGTTACCTTCACCTTCCCTTTTATCACCTTTCTTCATTGTCTTCTTCTTGCTTTTGTCATCTAATTCTTCCCTTTTGTCTTTCCCTTCATTTTTTCTTCACTTTTCCTTCATCTTCCTTTCGTTTCATTTTTGTTTTTTTTCTTTTTTTAGGACGGTTGTTTCTTAATTCCAAGCAAGAGGATTTCTTTATAAAAAATATACATTAGATAAGTTTTTTTAATAATTTTTAATTTAAAAAAAAAAATAATTTACTAACCTTTTTTTCTTTCTTTTTTTATTGCCTTTTTCTTTTTGTCTTCTCTTTCATTACTCTTTTTCATCTTCCTTTTCGTCACCTTCTTCCCCTTTCTTTTCGTTACCTTCCTTTTTATCACCTTCCCCTTCATTTTCTTCTTGCCTTGGTCATCTAATTCTTCCCTTTTGTCTTTCCTTCGTTTCATTTTTGTCTTTTTTTAGGACAGTTGTTTCTTAATTAATTTCAAGCGGAAGGGTTTTTTTTTATAAAGAAAAATTATTTGGTAAGTTTTTTTGAATTTTTTTTTTAATTTAATTTAAAAAAAATAATTTATTAACCTTTTTTTCTTTCATTGATTATCTCCTTCATCACCATTTTCTTTTTTGTCTCTCTTTCATCACTTCTTTTCATCTTGTCTTTCATTACTCCCTTTTATCTTCCCTTTCATCGCCTTCCCCTTCGTCGCCTAATTCTTCCTTTTCCTCACCTTCCCCTTTGTCATCTAATTCTTCCCTTTTGTTGTCTTCCCTTTCGTCGTCTAATTCTTCCTTTCGTCACCTTCCCTTTCATCATCTAATTCTTCCCCTTTGTCTTCCCTTCATTGTTATCTTACTTCCCTTCACTTTCCCTTTGTCTTCCTTTCGTTTATTCCTTAGTTCCTTCGTATTATTAAATTTTAATTAAATTAAAATAAATAAATAAGATTTATTTCAATTTATTTCATTTAGAAAATAAAAAGAAAAAAAAAGAATTAATTTTTTTTTATATTAATAATCATTACTTTAAGTAAGTTTTATTTATCACAATTTAATATAATTTGATTTAAAATTTAATTTAATTATTATTTTTAATTTTTTTTAGTTTAAATTATGGAACCTGTTGTTATTATTGATGATAATCATACTGATGATTATCAAGGTTCTAAAACTGAGATTATTTCATCAAAATCAAATTCATCTCAAAAATTAATTAAAGAAAAAACAAGTCAAGCATGGTTGCATTTCACAAAAGATGTTAATTTTAAAACAAATAAAAAGGCCGTTTGTAATATTTATTATAAAGTATATAAATGTTCTGATAGCAGTACTTCTAATTTATCAAAACATTTGAAGAATCATTTTATACAAACAGGAGAAAATTAAAAATAAGGTTTAAGTATTGCAGAGATGTTTGGTAATACAAAAGTAAATTTTAAATTTTTATTATTTTTTTTATTATACATTTATTTAATTTATTAATAATAAATTTATTAATTAGTGGATATATAATGATAATGAAATGGTCACACACAAAACTTATTTATTGGATTGTAATAAATCAATATCCTTTTACTATTGTTAAAGAATTTAGTTTTATTAGTCTTATATCTTCAATTCGTCCTAATACAAAAATTCCTTCTGCTGATACAATTAAAAGAAATATAATAAATGCTTATGAAATAAATAGAGATAAA